AGGATTTAAGGAAAAAATATTTCATAAAATAATAGTCATCGGCCAGGAGGGCTTGAATAAACCTAGGAAATGTGTATACTTAAGGACTGGTGCAATTACTGAAGGGAAATTGGCGGCTTGCTATGTTTTAAGCCGATTTCTCACGTGGCCATTTGACCAAGCATATATTGAGATTTCCTAATTTGTACTGGCACATGATCAGCTGCTAGCCTTATTTTGAAACTCTTTGACAGCTAGCGATCCCTCTTTCAAGTCCCCTGAGAGCTAGCTTTTTCTTAATCACGTTACCGTCATACTAGTCAAACCTCCATCATGGCTGATGGCAACTATCAGTTCTTTCAATACCATTTGGGCCTAATTGCCATATGACTAATGCTTTTGCTGTACTGAATTTCTGTCTGGTATAAATACCTTTGGGGTCATAATTAATAAAAATCAGTTATAACTTATGTATGAGTTCGTCTTTATTTATTTTACTAAACCAACTTAAAATGCTAGCTGAAAATCTGGCTAATAGTGCCTACTTCATTTATACGTACTTAGTTCTCTTCAGTGCAAGTCGATATCGACTACTCTGAATTATAAGTGGGCTCTCGTGTGCTTTACAGATACAGCTCTATGGCCTGCATATAAAGAAAGTACTACCTGAATTTATATTAATTCACCCCGCCCTTATAAGAACTGTTTTTTTAGAATGCATTTTACTCCAAGGACATAGAAGTTGTCGTTATATTATAATCTGCACTTTGAAATCTATGCATGTATGATTTGGCTTGAACTCGGCACAGTTATCCATGAGTCTATTGACCTATATATACTCATTGTTGAGCTTACTTCCATTTCGAGTGAAAGTGTTGGGTGAGGAGATTCGAAGGTCGGTTGCACCAGAAGACGACGGTGGATTCCTCTTGACCATCTGTCGATTGGCCTTACAGGAAGATTCATGCTGACGCTGTTTCCGAGGTTATCTCCTTCACCGAAATCGAAGGAGATTAGCTCTGAAACAGCGTCAGCATGAATCTTCCTGTAAGGCCAATCGACAGATGGTCAAGAGGAATCCGCCGTCGTCTTCTGGTGCAACCGACCTTCGAATCTCCTCACTCAACACTTTTGCTTGAAATGGAAGTAAGCTTAACAATTATGAAACAAGAAATTACTCTAAACCCAACTTTTCTTCGCATATATACTCATTTCCAATTCTAGAGTTCACTGTTCCCAATTCCCTCATAGGAAAAAGATTAGTCAATTATATCACAGCATAGACCAAGTGTGGCCTGTATGTGGTGTTGGTGAGACCCAGATGAGGCCGACATTGTAGTTTAGTTCGAAGTATAGAGACTTTAGCTAAGCAAGACTTAGGGAAATTTAATGAAGTCGTGAAGTCTCCTAATTTAATTGTTGGGAATTCAACCCTTAATTCATTTCATCAGCCTTAGCTGTCGATGATACTTGTTTGCTTCTCAATTTCTGGTCTTCGCAGTGTTAAATCCATAAATACCTTATTCTGCCTTACTTTATGGTCACTTCCTAACGAATTAACGCTCCTATGATGGACAATAGATTCGCTTTAATTTTGTGTATTGTTGATCAAACTACATTTGGTTAAGGAGTACTAACATAGACCAGGTTTTGAGAAGATAGCTCTTAGCTTTTAACTTCTGTCTGTAGACTTATCATGCATTTCATCCAATATTCTTCATTTATCATAATCCCTGGCCACTTTATGGAAGATTTAGTAGCCAGTTTCTCGTTGGTCCTTCACGCCGAATTCGCCCCCCTCTTTATCTCCTTATGAAGACTACGCCAAATTTGAGCTGGTCTCTAGTTTAATCGAAAGTTTATACTATAGGATTTAGTGAAATTCATTAGAAAAACAAACACTTCTCATATGACGAGCATTTAAAATTTCGCTTTTTAGCGTTAAACTTCGAAAGTTATACTTTGCTTGGGAGTCCTAGCACGACTTATTTTAAATTAAACAGCATCAGATTTCGCAATCGTATTCTTCATTTGGTCTGCTTATAATTTTCCTATATTGATAGGACTTTACTTTAAAATTTCTAAATGATGACGATTGCTTCACTGCCGAAAAAACTCTCCTATCAGCTGAGCAATTATCTCATTTTTTAATGCTTCATTGTTGATCTTTTTTTCCAGCTATAGACCCGAGAATGGTGAGCGGCCGAAACCACTTATTAAAGTTCTACTAAAGACAATGTTAACCGTTGCTACACAATATCAGACCGGAGCCATATCTAATGCTTTCAACTCCGACTTTCTCAATTTACTTCTTCACGGATTCGCTATTGATCCTGACCCCGCAATTCGAATTATTGTTCAGAAGATCCTACACACTCTTATCGATAGACATGGTAACACAGAACGCCTCCTTACTGTACAGTGAGTTATTAAATTCAAATATTTCACTTTATTTACCGCGCCACTTACTTTTTGTGTCCTATGAATTGCAAGACCAGGTCACGTGTAGAAGACAAATCCGATTATAGGTTGGACCTTAAGTAAATTGTGTCCTTCAAGCGCCATCAGGATGATTGAATGTCACAGATCCTGCCGGTAGACGTTTTCGTTTTAGAAAATATCGAACCTTTCCACATTCATATTTACATTATTGGCTCAAAAAGTTGAGGTAAAGCATGGCTCTAGCAAGTGCGTATGAGCCTAGCTACAAAATCAAAGAGCACACGGAGTTCTTTCATCCTTGCAAATGTAGCCCATGTATTCATCACGAGGAGGCTAAAATATGCCTCGCTGTCAACCGGTCT